AAAGCGGAAGAGGTGAGGACCTGGAGCCACATTTCTGCGGCCTCCTGAGCGCCAAGGCGGGTGCCAGCACAGAAAGGAAAGGGGATTTAGCAAGTGGCGCTGCGAACTCACAGATGAGGGGAGAGACCAGGGTAAGAGGACCGGCTCTCCCTCCCCAGTGCCCAGTGTCCACAATCGGGGTTATTCTCTGAGGCTTCGCTCCCTCCACTTGGGCCGTTCCCTCCCAAACCGAAATACAGGCATTTCATTGGCCTGGTGGCTGGCCATTGAAGACGTGGCTAAGCTTCCAACTTAATCTTTAGAAAGCTTTTGATTTATCCAGAATACTGGGTTTTGTCATTTTTAAAAAAGGAAATAGGTTTTTGAATAAAGAATTTCACCAATGGTTGTGAATTAGCTCCGAATTTTTGCTTTTGACAAACTGCAGTTATCTTAATGCTACAAGTGGAAACATCTAGTTGCAGTCAATTCTTCCCTTGCCATCCATAATCAAACAATCTAATTCCTGCTTTTGATATTTATGTGAGCCTGTTTCTTTTGAGTGTTGGGAAATGAAGGAAGTGGTTACTGTATCAGGTTGCTGGCATCTGCCTGTTACTGTATAAAACAGCAGCTCTTCTCCTGCAGGCACACCGTTTCCCACGTGGGTTCCAGGGAATGCGTTTAACTTTGAAGCTTTATTACAAAGGTCCCTGGTGAGGTGTCATATCTACCGCTCGTTAGTTACATTAATAAATATGTTTTCATGGCTCCCAGGTCATCTTTAAACATCTCCTGTAATACAGTAGGGATTTTCTTGTAAATTAAATTGCCTGTAACAATTACAAGTGTTGTATTTTGTTTACTCAACTTTTGCCCAGTTGTGTAGTGAAAAAGTCAGTTAAGAGGCCATAGGTGCAAAATGGGAATTAGTTATTTAACTAGATCCACTTTAGAATAAGACATTCTCAGAGTATTTATCTAATAATGTGGATAGCTCTCTGAAATTCAGGCAGGGAAGGGGCTCCCAGAGTTGGGAAAGTGTGGCTATTACACCAGAAACTTCACTGCGTATCGCAGGACTGCACGCTTCCGGGACATTCACAGCCTTTGAGCCAGTATCCCAACAAACGTTAATATTTAATGGATTGTGGGACAGAAATCAGCCTTTCAAATTAAAATATGGACGAGCTTAAATTTTTCAGAGCAGCAAACACGGTTAAAGTGAGACACTGTCTAAAGTTGTTCTCTAGAAAACAAGGTTCTGCTGCTCCGTGGGGGAGGGGCACGCATCGCCCCCCATTTCGTGGGCTGTTTCCCACACAAGCAAGTCCTCGCTAGGATGGGGAGAGGACACCGTGAATGAATAATAAACTATTTGCAGAGACGTTGCAATCAAGCTGTGATAAAAGCAGGAAATTCAGAGTTTATTAAGCTGATGCGAGGAAGATTAGAGGCTTTTAGACGCGGGTCTGATTGATGTAAAGGTAAACTTTGTTCCAGATACAGGGATTCCGCGCGGTAATGAGGACCGTGCAAGCAATTAGACCAGCACCTTGTTGATAGAGGCTGTGCTTGGAGAGGCGGCCTCTGGAGTGAGGCGGGCGATGGGAGAGGAAGGGGCATGAGGACTGGGGTGGGGGGGTGCCCCACCTTAAAAGGCAAGTTGGGGCCTCAGCATTCCTGGCAGAAAGGCCAGGGCACCAGGGGAGCGCGGCCTGGCGAGGCACCTGCTGGTCAGGCAGGTCGGGAATGAGGGGTTGGGGGGGGGGGTCAGTTCGGTAGGAAGACAGGAGGCCCGTGTTGGGGGGAGGGAGCCGGGAGAGGGGAGTGGAGGCCGGGGGTGGGGATGACCCCTTCCCAGGTCACCGAGGTCCGAGGGTCTGCAGCCGCCTGGGAGGGGAGGGCGGCGGGGAGGTGAGATGGGCCCAGGCTCAGCGGGAGGCCGGTCCGGGTCCCAGCGCCCGGGGGAGAGGGGAGCACCGTCCGGGAAGGTCCCGGTGGCTCCGACCCGCCCAGGCGGCCGGGCAGGGGGGTGTGGACGGCTCCCGGGAGGGTGATCACGCTGCCTCCGTTACTGTGGCTTTCGGCAAACTTCCGACCAGACGAGCATTTGCAAGTGAAAAGCGACTTCTCCGCGCTCGCTCGGTGCCCGCGGACGTGCGCACGGGGCTGGGTCGCCTTTTGGCTCGTTTGGAAGCGGGAGCTCCACCTTTTCTCTGTAAAACAGTAAAAACCATGCGCTGCGGCGGCCTAGGGACTCAGTAGCTGCGTTTGCTCTTAAAAAAGCGAAGAAACTTCTCCTGCTCAGCCCCCCACCCGAGTCTTGGATCTTGGATCTGATCCATATTCGGAACCATTTTCCGACCGGAGCCTTGTTGCTGGTCACGCTGATCCTCATCCGACAGAAGCGATGGCTCCGCGCGCGGCCTCAGGTGCGGGGCCGGACGGCGGCCAGGTCAGCGCCCACGTTCCCTGTGCTCGGCGCCGCCGGTCACGTCTTTCAGAAGCGGATCTTCCCGGATCTGGACTTCACTCCGGAGAGCAATTCGGTTCGCATCCCGGAGGCTGTGCTCCGTCCGAGGGAAGCTGGGGGGCGGGTGAGCCACGCGCTCATTCACCCCCGTGGCCGGATCGTGCGCGTCACTAGAATGCACTCCAGGCCCGAGAGAGGGCGGTCCAGCGGGTTAACTGCGAGTCTTGACTAAGATACTGCAAGAGCCGGAGTGAGCATTTGAATTCTCTTAAGAAAAGTCACCATGACAAACAGAATAAGTTATTTTATTACAAGAAGTAAACAGACTTGCTAATTTTGTGCCTAATTTCACCCATATTACAAATGCAAAGGATATAAGATGGAAGTTACCAAAATGCAAACTATTGTGCATAAATGAAATAAACTCAACTTACAGAGTTAGCAAGTAGAACATGACGTATCTACAGCCATTATAAATAGTTCAAAGTATATACCATATCTACATACGGGGGGGGGGTATAAACATGTGAAAAAGAGTTTCTTAAGGAACAGTTAGAACGTTTGTTTGAACAATTTAAATTACTAATGAGGGTGCTCAAATATAGAACCAACCAAAACATTTTTTATTTTTATTTTTTTAAGAAAAACTGTCGAGCTTCCTCCCAGGCCTGCTGAGGAAATCTGTTAGCCAGCTCAAGATAGTCTTGGGATCCAAGGCATTTTCCTGAGAGAAAAATGGAAAAGAATGAAATGTAAAAGTTAAATTCTTTGAAGTTTAAGAAATTAAAATTATTTTGATATCTGAGTACAAAATGGAGACATAAACTTCAGATAAACCATGACACAATTTATGCAAACAAGGTAATTGATCTACCTATAGTATAAAGTATACAATATATTTGAGTCACAATCTATGTTATGCTTCTAATGTATTTAGACATTAACCCCTATGTAAAACATTGTGAAAAAATTTCTTTTGGATTCCAGAGTAGGAAAATAGGGTAAAATAAGTATAGTAACGAAATAAAACGACAATCAGAATCTGTCCTTAAATTAGACTTGAAAGGGTACATATGTATGTAAACTTGACATATTTTCTAAAACCCTCTATTTGGTTGAAAACTTTGAGTGACAGTCACCTATGGAACCACAGGGGACGGTAGGGGTGTGAGCACAGCAGCCACTCGCACAGCGGGGGCGCCGAGCAGCGAGCACCCGGCCCAGATGGGTGCTGCAGGGCTGCTCACACTTAGGGGTGCACATGGGGACCTGCAGTGTTTTATGGGGACAACAGAAGCTCCCCTGAAGGGAACAGGTCTCCAGGGACAACTTGGTGGGGTGTCACCACAGAGAATGGCGACTGAGCAAAGCCTGAGCAAAGCCGAGAGGTTCTCGTTTGCTCCCTGTTGTGCGGATTAAAGCACCGAGTGGGGAAAGCGTGGGAGTCCGAGAAGATGGTCCCGGGGAAGAAAGAGGTGGAGAGTCCACAGGCCTCAGCCCTCCAGGCAGACAGACGGGCAGCTCCTGGGACGCTGCCTGCGACACGACACGTGCCAACGGTGACTCATCCTCAGTCAGGAGGGGCCTCTGCACTGCTCACGGGCAGAGAAACTGCTGTCCAGGCACCAACGCAGGCACCGGGTTCCTGTGGCATTTTCACATCTTCACAAACGTAAACGTTCTCTTGTCAGAAACGGTAACAAACGATGCTGACTTTCCCCAAGGAGCCCCCATAGCTTTCTCTTCAGGCTGTAGCTGAGTCAGGGCGGAACTGAACTTGCACGTCTGGCTTAGACAAATGGGACCAACTGCGATGCTGACTTTAATTCCTAAAAGGGGCACAGCTTTCTGTTCACTCATCTGAGTCACTAAAACATGACGTTTTTCATGATATTGTTACAAGCTTATATTTTCATCTTTGTACTTTTCTTTTTTTTTTAAATATATTTTATTGACTTTTTACAGAGAGGAAGGGAGAGAGATAGTTAGAAACATCGATGAGAGAGAAACATCGATCAGCTGCGTCCTGCACATCTCCCACTGGGGATGTGCCCGCAACCAAGGTCCATGCCCTTGACCGGAATCGAACCTGGGACCCTTCAGTCCGCAGGCCGACGCTCCATCCACTGAGCCAAACCGGTTTCGGCAGTCTTTGTACTTTTCAACACTCGCCCAGTGTGTGTGTGTGTGTGTGTGTGTGTGTGTGTGTGTAACAATCCACTGCCGCCTGCCCCCCAGTAAGGACGACTCAGTGGGTGCCCAGGGGGTCCTGCTGGAGGGGCCCCTGACTGGCCACTTTGAAGGCTATCAAACTAACGGGAGAACTAGGGTCTCAATCAGAGACGCTTCTCGACAGTCACAGAGCCACCTGCACGCCTCCGTTACTGTCTGGGCAGCAGAATGTTGTAAACAGTAAACATGCTCTTTAAAACCCTACATCTCGTTTGATCTCAGGAAACTCCTCAGCAGGAAAATACAGGGAAAAACCCTTGTACTCTGATGGCCTTTTCTCCACGGAGAACAATTTTACGTTTCTTATTTCAATTAAAAAAATTCAAGTACTTGAATTTAGGGCCAATATGGGTTACTATCACTAATAATTTTATTCTGAACATGTATAGGGGACCAAACCTATGTGATTTCAGTATTTGTGTGAGTAACATAGGCCAATATTAATGATCTGATTGTCTCCTGTATTACTAATTTAGTAATTATTCACCATTTATTTTATCTTGCATGAGGTGGGTATAAATTTCACAAAGATATTTTTGTGCTTTTCTTTTACTCCATAGATTTCTCTGTATATTCTTTTTTTTTTATTGAGTTTTAGAGAGATTGGAAAAAAGAGGGAGAGAGAGAAACATTGACTGGCTGCCCCCTGCATGTGCTCTGACTGGGGATCAAACCTGCAGCCTGGGTATGTGCCCTGACGGGAATGAACCAGCCACCTTCTGGCATACGGGATGGCGCTCCAACCAACCGAGCCACACTGGCCAGGGCTCTGTATATTCTGATACATTCATGCTGATGACAAAATTGATTTTTTTATTGACTGAAATACACTTGGTATCTGAATCTCAAATATTTTAGGCAAAGTAAGCAATAATTTCTCCAAGGGTTCCGAAAGGTGGAGTAAGAAACATGTCTGTTCACTAACAAACACGACATTCAATCTTAAGAGACATACCTCTGGGCTGGTACGACTGGTTGGCTGCCTGACCGTGATTCTGTGCAAAGTCCTGTGCAAGATGAGAAAAGCGTTTTTATACCAAAACCACAAGCAGAGAGCCTCACTGAGGGCGGCTTTAAAGCTGCTGAATTCAGAGACAACGATTTTTGCACGAATATTTTGGAGCCCAAATATCAAAGCTGAAGAAACTGATGCTATGCATTCCATGTTCCTGTAACTTTAAGTTAAACAGTGATGACTCTCAGATTCTGCTCGACTATCACAGGGCTAGGTTGCTGCGACTACGGAAATGACAATTTTACTTTATATCTAACAAACTGAACACTTTAGTCACATTTACTGTCTTAAACAGATTATGAACATGTTTTTAAAACACAACTATTAAAGCTCTTACGTATTCTGCAGCTAAATTTTAAAGTCTGCTAATTTTACTTTCACATGGAAAATGTAGAATATACAAAATTTCAGAAGCTACCAGCTCCTACCTTTAATATCAGAAACATCGATGAGAGAGAAACATCGACCAGCTGCCTCCTGCACATCTCCTACTGGGGATGTGCCCGCAACCCAGGTACATGCCCTTGACCGGAATCGAACCTGGGACCTTTCAGTCCGCAGGCCGACGCTCTATCCACTGAGCCAAACCGGTTTCGGCTGCAGCTAAATTTTAAAGTCTGCTAATTTTACTTTCACATGGAAAATGTAGAATATACAAAATTTCAGAAACTACCAGCTCCTATCTTTAATATAATTTTCTAGTGATTATTATTTATCTAAAACACAGGGACCTTGCAGAACCATTTTATAAGCTAAAATCTAATATATATTAATTCCCTTCACAATTATTTATAGAAAAAAAATTACTTAAGTCCAACATTTTATCTCAAATAAGCATTGTAAGATATTTGTGTAGCATTTACAGAATTTGTGTTAAAATATATGTGAAATGTGTTAAATTTATTTTCACTTACATTTGAATGTGTGTTGAATGTAATAGAGCAGATTTAGAACTAGTTTGAGATGAACATCAGATGAAAACAAGTACTATATATATATATATATGTATATATGTGTATATATATATGTGTATATATATGTATATATGTGTATATATGTGTATATATATGTATATATGTGTATATATGTGTATATATATATATGTGTATATATGTGTATATGTGTATATATATGTATATATGTGTATATATATGTATATATGTGTATATATACATATACACATATATACACACACACACACACACATATATTTACTACTTTAGATTCTGATATCATTTGTATTTTTACAAATTGTTTCCCAAGCAGTTGAAAATGTAATGGATTAAGTTGAGACAGACACAGATTTGCTCTTTGCTCAGCTATCACTGTCTTGGTTGAGGGCCCTCTGTTGGGGCCCAAAGCTGCACCCACGGCCCCGGCAGCCCCTCCCCTCCTGCCTTACTTCCCTCCTCAGCATTAACTCCATGGACAAGCTGTCTGTTTCCTGTCTGACTCCCCGCCTCAATGAGAAGTCTATGGGGGCAGGTTTTATGTTTCATTCCTTGCTGCGATGCCAGTGCCTAGAGCAGGGTGTAACCTGGAGGGACCACAAAGTACTGACTGGAAGAAGGAAGCATCTGCGTTTACGATCACAGTCTTAAATGTAATTTCTATTGAATTCAATCCCAAGGTTCCCAGAATATATGTAGAACCCTAACTCTGGCTATGATGGTTACAGAAGACTTTATTAAGACTTTGATTTAACCATAGGACACTTTATGAAAATTTGTACGTGACCTGTAGATTTGAATATCTTTGAAAACTTTTTCAGAAAATGAAACCCAGGCTCAAACAAAATAACTAAGCTGAAAATAAAAGATTTCTAAACATAATTGACCCAGTTGTGTTATATTTGAAAGAAAATGGAATGTTTCAGGAAATAATGATCTACGACGACAGAAGAAAACCACCGTTAGCTATGAACACACGTTAAAGAGCCAGCTTGGCTGTCCTGCCAGCGACCGAGTTAGTGTCGCTGTGGAAACACTGCTGTGCTCAGTACAGCACCGACTACAGGCTTTCACTCAACCAGAAACACAGGAGGCCGTTCTTAACAGGTTTTTGTTAAACACACAGGTGTGTGTGTGTGTGTGTGTGTGTGTGTGTGTGTGTGTGAATAGTATTTATTTAAACATTCACCAATACACTGAAGTTCTAATTGGTCTTCCCTCAGCAATCATTGCCTGTCCCTCGCAGCCAGACTAAATGTAAGACGAATGAGACGTTAAAGCCTCAGCAAGGCCTGGCCGTCCTTTGGAAACATCTTGGTGTGGGCTTACCGTTGCATCACTCGCCCTTTCCCTGAAATCCTCCAGTAGAAACTACACAACACTCAAGCCCCCTCTCACCACCCGACATCTTGTGAATAATTTCCAAGCACAGAAGCAGGTGAACGCCCTAGAAGGCGGGTGGCTGGCGCCTGCCCCCTCGGACAGCGGACAGCGGCGGCTCGCACAGCCGAGGCAGGCCGCACGGAGGTACCTGGATGAAGGAGGCCAGCAGGACGCAGCTCATCTCCTGCTCCAGGATGATCTTGTTCTGGCCGTTGTTGTAACAAGCGGCGATGAGCGACGGGAAGAGCACTTTGACCAGCCGAGGGTCGCTGAAGTACGGGAAGGGCAGCTGGCACAGCTTCTGCAGCACCGTGGGGTGGCGGCCGGACTGCACGATGACCTGGGACAGAGGAGCAACCAGGTCAACTGCCAGCCGCCGGCCGGCCCTGCCCCTCCATGGGCAAGTGCCGGGAAGAACCACGAGGACACGCGGAAGGAGCGGAAGGAGGAAAAGACTCCCACTCCTTACCTGAAGGGAGCAGACAAGAACCTCATCTCCTAACTCGAGGAGAAGATTCAAAAAGTTCTGCAGCCGTTTAAGTTACTAGAATCGTGATGAAGGTCCTGCGACGTGAGCTGTAACCACCCCCCCCCCCCCAAGCAGAACAGCCATTTCCCTTAAACCTGCACACAGCCCCCGCCCCAGGCAGACACGCTCTGGCAGCCCTGCCCACTGCAGTCCCTGACCCGCTCACAGAACGTACGAACGCGGATACATCCATTCCGTATGCAGACCAGCCCTGGAAGAAGAGGGGACTGTAGGGGAACGAGCAGCTTCGGCCCAGGCTCCCCAGGCCCCTCCTCCCATCCGTCCTCCTTATCTGTTTCCATCGGTGCCACGGAGCTAAGAGGAGGATTGTTTAGAGAAACGCAGCCGTGGCCGTGCAGCAGGCGAGGCTGACGGCTGTGCACACGCAGTTAATGGGCTGGTAGGGAGCCCCCCTCACTCACCCCCGGGCCTTCACGATAAACTCAGAAATGTCCAGATCAGGTCTGTTTCAAGTGACCTCGCCTGGACAGTCCTCACAGGAGGGTAGGGACACGGTGAAAGCCAAGCCAGGACTGTAAACTGTACTCGGAGAAGCACCGTTTTACAGGTACACACCCAGACAGGACTTCATTCAGATTAAAACCAGAGGGAAGGAACGCCACGGCAGAGGCAGGAGAAACATAAATTACAGGGATTTACAAGTTTTCAAAGCACTTTTAACAACACTTTAAGAACACACTCTCAGATGGTAATGCAGCCTGGTTTAAGAAGAAAATCAACAAAGTAATAGTTCACATATTTCAGTTCAATAGCTAAAATGACATCAAAAACCTTTAGAGATGCTGGTAGGGACTTGTTAATACCTTCAAATCCAGCAGGAATTTTAAAGACGCGCAGTGTGACCGATCAGCACATGGCCGTGTGCCGCCGTGTCCGACGCTGGCTGAGAAAATGTGTCCTATCGTCGGCTTTACTGATAAAGCGTTTACCTGCATCGTTATTCTAATCGTTAGATAGAAGTTCGCGGCACAGCCAAATGGTCACCGCCTTAGAGCTCACAACGATCCCGTTATGAGAAGTCCCTCCCCCTTTAGCTTCTTCTGTGGAACCTCACTGTTGAAACGCGATCAGAAGACACCCCACTGGCCAGTCTGGCTGGCACAGGCACAATGACAAAGACGACAACACCGGGTTCTTGGTAAACGAGACAGAACAGGAGTGCCCGGCGGGACCCTTCCCCCTAAACCCCAGCCCCTTGCTGAGGTGGGCAGAGCCCTCGGGGCCTGTCAGACCCCCAGGAACAGGGCAGAGCTGCCCGTGGAGGAGGAGTTTACAGGTCACACAGTGCTGTGAGGTAACCTGCCAGCGGCCACGACTTTTAAGGCTTCTTGTCGGTGAGACACTAATGGACGTAGCAGTTACCTGGGGGTGAGGAGTTCTACCACAGGACCACCTAGGACAGACCACCTGGGCACAGGCTGGGGTGCACAGGGGTGGTGAGAGCCGCACCCCGGCTTGGCTGTGAGCCAGAGCAGGACATCTGGTCAGTACTGGCCTTCGAACCACGTGTCACACATTGTGGGCAGACAGGGTTTGCAGCACGGAGACGCAGGCAAGACCACCGCTGGGCGAGTCAGGTGGGCTTGTGGCATCAGCAAGCGGAACCGTTGGCGGGTTTGGGCCGAGCGCTCCCTTAGGGGTAGGAACCAAGACTGTGATGCCAACAGCCCGACCGGGATGGTGAGGGCTTTGGGCACCAGGAGAGAGTTGCCCGAGAGGCTCCGGACAGACTGCGGGGTGAGGGGGGCTCCGTCTTATTCTGTCCAGTCCCTCTTCCCAGGCCAGAGGTGGTCACACCCCTGGATTGCCGAGGCGTTCCCAAGGCAGGAGAAAGTCAACAGAGAGGCACCGCGCGGCATGAAAGTCTTGCTGAATGAAAGGAATGTACACAGTCGGGGAAAGCTCAGTTTGTAATGCGCTGTTTCTCTCTCTCTCTGCGTTCCCGACGGAGCTGGCACTAAACCAGTGGCTGCTGGTCTGTCACCTTTGTTTACAAAGGGGGCACTACCCTGAGGGCACGCAGGCCGACACCAGCCACAGGGCTTCTCACAGAGCTCCGTGTAGCGGCGCGGCCGGGAGGGGCCTGGACGGCAGACAGGGACCAAGAACGGCCCCACCATACCGAGCCTCCAACACGGCGTCCCCTCCGCCAGTCGTGTCATCCTGGGCAAGTGGCCCCAATGCTCTGGTTTGGAGGTGGAGAATTCCTTCAGAAGTAAACTTTTTAATGACGTATACGAACCATTTCCAACTGGTGTGCCAGTGTTTCTTACAACAGGCAGAACCTGACTACTCAGGCAGGGGCACTGACCTCTTTTCCCTTAGATTATTTTAAAAAAAGAAAAAAAAAAAGGACAATAGACATTTGGTGCGAATCAATCAAAATTATACCTGTTTTTTTTTTTTTGGTCAAATTGGCGAAATTTGTATTTTTTGTATTTTATGGGGTGTGTGCGCAAATAATGTATTTTTTGGCGTGCTGCAGAATTTTAGCAGTTAGTGTATGTGCGCCATGAGATGAAAAGGCTGAAAATCTGCCCTGACCGGTTTGGCTTGGTGGATAGAGCATCGGCCTGCAGACTCAAGGGTCCCAGGTTCGATTCCAGTCAAGGGCATGTACCTTGGTTGCAGGCACATACCCAGTAGGGGGTGTGCAGGAGGCAGCTGATCGATGTTTCTCTCTCATCGATGTTTCTAACTCTCTATCCCTCTCCCTTCCTCTCTGTAAAAAATCAATAAGATATATTAAAAAAAAAGGCTGAAAATCACTGATGCGCACACACCCCATAGCGAACATCCTGTTGGTGCCCAAATAAAGAGAGCACGCAGGGCCAGGGGTGCTGAATCTCGAAAGAGATTCTCTCATTGAGAAGTAGATGCCCGTGTCTTGAGTTTGAGGCAGATGAGCAGAAACCACCTGCCTGCACTGGAGCACGAGAGAGCTTCCTGCCTTCATGGTCCGTCCTGGTCCTTCTCCGGTCGCTACGACCCACTGAAGAAGGGGATCTTTGCCCAGGGCCCTGTCCTCACCACTTTGTTAGTATCACGGGGGTCGGGAAAGAGAGGAAGAGAGACCTCCACTCCCTCTTCTTTGGAAGCAGGGGCTTGAGAACGAGGAGGCTGCACGCTGGCAGTGTGCCCGGCCTGGTGAGAGAGGGCCGGGGACACAAACACGGGCGTTAAAGAGGAATCTGGTTAAAAAGGGAAAAGAAGATGGAAGGTGGAGTAGACAAGCTGCTGATTCTTTCACCTGCTGACCCCTGGCCGCTCCTGGCCTCTGGCTCCCATCGGTGTGCCTTCTACCGGGCGAAGGAGCCCTGGGTGCACCGAGGGGCCAGGTGAGGTCAGCAGGCACGGACCGAGTCTCGGGTCACGTCTGGGGGGCAGAGGCCGTGCTTCTCGCTCTCAGGAGACGAATGACAAGCAGCACAGGGGCCTGAGGCATCCGAGGGAAGGACGAGGTCCTAGGAGAGCCACGAGGGAGGCTGCCCCTCACGCAGGGAATGCGGACCTACCTGCAGGGCGGGGTCCAACCTGGTGCCTGGGAACTGCCGGTGGAGGAGTTCCAGGAGAGACGCCTGGTGCCTGCTGGCCCGTCACAGCTCAGGCTGCCGCCACGTGTCTCGCGGCCTCAACAACAGAAACCCGCTTCCTACAGCTCTGGAGCCTGGGAGTCTGAGGCCGAGCCTCTTCCTGGGTGCAGACCGACCCCTCCATGGCCTTTCCTCGAGTGTGTGTGGACAGACAGACCTCTCCCCAAGGCCACCGGTCCTGCCTCATCAGGACCCACCCCCATGGCCTCACTGACCTTAGTTATCTCCTAAAAGCCCCTCTCCAAGTGCGGTCTCGGGGGGTTAATGTTCAACATGGAACGGGGGGGGGGGGGTCACACAGTTCAGTCCAAGGTGCAGCTGTGACTCCTCCCCCGGCCAGAGGAACGTCTCATCTGAGAGGCTGCCCTCCAGCTGTGTGTCAGCCACCCCTCGGTGGCCACAGGCCCCGCACTGCCGGCTCCAGGGGACTGTCAGGAGCCCTGGCTCTGGTCAGTTAACCAACTGGAGCTTCTGGGTCCTTTCTATAAAGTGGGGGAGTGGGGGAGGGCGGGATGGCAGTTTCAGGGCTTAGATGAGGCTCACACGAGGCATCTGTGACCAGAATATAAAAGCCGACGTAGTGATGGGCACTGCTGCCGTGTCCTCTCCGGTGGCACCTGCTCCCACCGAGGGGCTTGCAGGACCGGAGTCCCTCCCAGGTGAGGCCCACGGCCTGTTTTCCATCATCCCAGCCGCCTCCCCATGAAGGCCACTCGCTGGGCAGATCCGGCAGCACCGGCCCTCGGCTCTGGCTGGGCCTCGGCAGCATCTCCAGCCCCTGGAAGCCACAGCCTGGCCTCCCCCGACCCTGTGCCCACAGGACGAGCTCTGCACACAGCAGGTGCCAGGGGGACCTGGTGGGGCAGGAGGGCGTTCTGACAGCTCTGAGGAGAGAGAGTCCCGGCATGAGCACGATCCTAGAAACAAGCGCAGAGGCTCAGCCGACCGTGTGCTTTGAGCTGCTGTGCCCAACGTGCCAAGGGAAACAGGCAGAGGGCAGAGCTCACAGACGGGGCCGTGGGCCTGAGTCATCCGGCAGGAGCTTCCTGTGAGGCACCGGGAGCCCTCACGCCCAGGAAGCCTTCCAGGCAGCACAGCCAGAGACCCTCTCCTTCCAACCGGAGACAGGGCGGCAGCCGCTGTATCTTCCCTCCTGTCCTGGGCGGCGCTGCTGGACGGTGAGGCTCGTCCGTGTCA